AGGGGGGGGGGGGGGGGGGGGTTGGAAAACCAATTGCCTAGAAAATCTAAGCAATCAAACGGATAAAAAGGTGGAAAATGGAAAACATGATGGAAAAGCCACCAAATCAAACAGGCCCTTATTCCAATCTCAATGTTTTGAGAGGCTTATGAATTTTTCTTTAGTTTTTATTTAGGCAAAATAATGTACGTTACTTTTCTTTTCTTTTCCTTGTGCCGACATTCATTTTCATTGCTTGCTTTAACATACAATCAATTTTGGGTCCATGTTAAAAATTGACCATTGCATATACAATATGTCTGCTGTCTCTGCTTACCTGTTCCAGGGCTTGAAAAATCAAAGAACTTGATTTTTCTACATTACATGACATTTAAAGATAGAGATGTCTTAGAGAAAATCAATACTTGCTAAAAGTTTTGAATGGAACTGCACATAATCTGTTAATATGGTAAATAGGCTTAGTCTCCATTTACACCACATATGTTGGCAAGAACCTAAAGCCCCTTGCCCCCCCGGGGCATAGTTCAGTGGTGCAAAGAATAGAAGTGAGGTTATCTCACGTTTTGCTGGCAGCCGCAGTGTGAGAGTTTGATTCCTGAGACATGAAATTAGACTTCTTGTAGGCGCAGTATACAGACAACTCTTGTTTCCTGGCCTGTTGGGGCACATCCCGCGATTTACCTTCCTCACAAAACTCTAGAGGCGAGACGGTGGGGGCCTTCAAGGTCAGGGTTCAACCTTTTTTAATAACCTAAAGCCCTGATTTTCTGAACTAAGACTGTCAAGATTCTATGTCTTATCCTAACTCTCAAATGCTCAACTATGTTCAGTAGAATTTAAGTTGGATGTGTGTAATTTACATAATTTTCCTCCAATTTCGAAAGGATGTCTTCCTTGTTTTTATCTTAAAACATTTATATAAATATCTAAACCTTATCTTCAATAAACTTGGCGTCAAGTGTCTGAATCACGCCTTTTTAAATAAATCCTTGAAGTGCCTCATGGGTAGAGCTTCATTACCTTTTCTCTCATTCTGTTTTTGATGTACATGTTCTTAATGTTTTGTATGATCTTTTTAAATTGATAGATATATTTTCCTCACATCAAAGTAAATGTAAATGAAAATTTTATGCTGTATGAATAGGGTTCATCTACTTCATTTGATACGTTTTGTGATAGGTATTTGAGGATGCTTAAAATTCACCACTGAGAATAATTCTATTCTGTTGGTTGATTGCTACAGGATCTAGGAATCTGTTTTGCTCTATTCTTAAGAAGTTTTATTAGTTTTTTATTGCAACTCTATTATCAGCAATAGTGAAAATTTATAATTATTACTATTCTAAAGTATAGTTAGGTTGCAAAGGTCCATTTTTTTCTTTTCAAATTATGAACAACTTTTTAGATGCCACAATAATGTTTTTGCCTAATTTGGCACTCCACCATATGTACACTTTCAACGTGAAAGCCCTTTTGCTTGCCGCTCAAAACTTTCTCGATGCAAAAACTCTTGGGTGAAAAGGATGAGCCTCACAACAAATAATCTTTTTCGATGCCACAAATAATCATTTTTGATGGGTCCGTCTTCCTATCCTTAGATGAAAAGGATGAGCCCGGCGACCATCAGGAAGTGCCAACTGCCACTGTAGCATGTACAAACTCTAGCCGGCAGAGAGTGTTATGAAATCAATCTTTTGCGTCGATTTTAAACAACTTATAAATATCTTCTATGTTTAGAAGTGAATTTTTCTAAAATTTACATTTAATTATTTTTAACGTTAACCAATGAATGTGCAATGCACGTTGACCCACTAGTAATTACAAAAGTCTATTCTAATTTTCTTAGAATGTATATTGCAAATCAATTAAATTTATGTGTGGGTTCTTCTCAATTGCCAAACTTTAGAATAAGTCAAATAGTTACGACATAATTATGTTGCATATTGCCTGAAAGAAAGGCTAAACGAGGATCGAATAATTAAATTTTTTTAATGGCAGCTAACAGAGGAATCAATATTGGGAGTAAATTGAAGTCCAGTGGTCTAATTACGATAAATTAAAAATTGAGTGACCTAATTGAGATTTCACTGAAAGATTCCAAGGAACAAAACAGAAATTTTACCCATTTATGTATTGTTTATACATTTTGGTTTTATTATTTTATATGAACTACATTTTCTTTATGCAGAAACCTGTCCTTATCAGTGCGTTAGAAAAGTTCCAATTGCCCTGTCCATAATTTTCTAAAGAAGTTGAAAAAAAAAGGGGAAAAGTCATCCCTTCCTGACAATGTTTTAATGAATCAATGACGAGAAAATGTAAAATGCGAATGATTGAACCAAATAAAGGAGTTTATTACAGTAAATTTCAAGCAATGAAATTTATTATTTATTTATTTATTTATTTATTTTTTTGATACCCAGGTATCCCAGTTTCGCCAGACTAAATCCTGGACCTCTAGCCACCGACCCCTCATTGACTCGAGGAGGTAAATCGCAGGTTATGCCCTTGTTGACTTCCAGGTTCCCACTTGGTTTATACTCCTGACCCCAAGAGAATCCTACTCACTGCGTTGATCAGGAATCGAACTCTCTACGCTGAGGTTGTCAGCCCGCCATAGTGATTGTATGAAATTCATTATTATCTTAAATTATAACTGTGGTAAGTGAGTTTAGTGCGTGATTATATTTATTTATCGTCTTGAAAAGGTCTATAAGCTCAAAAATTTTGGATTGAGGAGTGTTGTGATGCCAACCTCAGTTTTGAGCGATAATATGAAGATAACGGTGATCGATATTGTGGGGTGATTTTTTTATTATTTTTAATTTTCTCTTTTCGTTCTTTTATTAAGATTAACTGAAGTGATATGAAAAAAGCCATACGTCCAGGCCTATGGACAGGCTTAAAAACAGGGGCGCCACTGTCAGCCCCCCATCCAAATGTGGCGCCCCTGTTTTTAAGCCTGTCGAGAGGTCTGGACAAGGAGCACATCTCTTTTTGCTTTTGTATCATTTCGACAAGTGCACACATTTATTCTGGTCATGCCGAAAGAAAAAGGTTCAGAACTTAATTGAACTTTTCACAAAGCTTAGGGACCCCGCTTAGGGACCCCAGCTACAATTTTCCCAAGTGCATAGTGACAAGTATTTCAGTGTTTGGTCTTTATTATTACAGACAATACACATTTACTGCACGTCTCCCACCCAAAATTTTCAATCATAAAACTCGCTCACACACGCACACTCCGTTCTGTCTGTTTATACCTTTTCAGATAATCTTCATGTGCAAACCCTTTATTTCTGTGTTGAGTTAAATAACAAGAAGAATTTCTATCAAAGAATCTTCCCAAAAGAATGGTGTCGCTAAAAGCAGGGAGCAGGCCACCATGGGTAGGCTTAGGGGCTGCAGTTTGGGTAGAAATAGCAGCGGGGAGTGCCTATACTTTTCCTCTATACTCTCCTTCACTGAAATCAGTTCTTGGCTTCAACCAGCAACAGTTGACCATTCTTGGAGTGGCAAATGATATTGGGGAGAATGTTGGGATTCTTCCAGGCATAGCCTGCAACAAATTCCCACCTTGGGCTGTTCTTCTTGTGGGCGTTTTTGCCTCTTTCTTGGGCTATGGTGTTCTTTATCTTGCTGTTAGCCAAACTGTTCAATCCTTGCCTTATTGGGTTGTAAGTTCTGCCTTTTCCTCTCAATTAAGAGTTGGGATTTCATCTATATGTTGTGTAAAATTTTGACATTCAATCTACGTGGATTTTCCCCTTGACATGCCCCAAAAAATGGTGGTGGCTCATTCCAGCTTAATAGGCTATCGTGGTTCTTATTTAGAGGATTAATCAAGTGTTTACTTTTTCGATATTTAATCGATGCAGAATTTACCCTCAACACCTTACAATATTAGATTTTTTATTTGGCTGCCTTCTTGATGCTTACTGTTGTTTTTCCAGTTTTGTGGGATCTACTCTATTGATTTCTTGTTTTGACACAAATCATTTTTGTAAAGTTTGTTAAATATAGATAGAGGAATTCATATTCTATTTTTTCTTCTTCCAAATATAGATGTGTGGGTGACTGTGATAGATATATATGGTACCCTTTGGATGATTTCTTTTCATGAAAGATGTCTAATCTGACTTGATTTCTTCTTTTAGGATTTTGTGTTATTTTTCTCAAGCAAAAGCATGTTTTAATTTCTATCTCATCAAATTTGTTCTGTTTTGCATTTTATAATTTTTTATGCAACTCAAAACTGCTATCAATTGAAAAACAGAACCCTTATATTTTTGTTGGTTTGGAGAGTGCACTGAACTCGACCCTATATGAAAGAATTTAATAGATTTGTAGAGAACATGGTAGTTCATATAGGCTGTGGTTTTACTGAAGAAAAATAAATTTTGATGCAAATTGAATTTTGTCATGAAGATTTGAAGATTGATTGCAAGACTTGCAACTTGAACTCTTTTTTAATGATTTGTTCTTGCTCTACACCCACAAACTCAATTTTGATTCTTGACTAACTTGTATAGGAGACAACGAATATTTCTATTCATCATCACGGTTGATGATCACCATCCAACGTGGCCGTGGATCACTTCCATAATGTCCAATGAATAAAAATGCTTGAGTTTTGCTATTCTAACAGGGCATTTGACAGGCCCAAGTGATGGGGGCAACACGTCGGCCCTTGATCTGATTTGCACTTTAAGCAAATCAGATCAAGGGCTGAGGTGTTGCTTTTCAACTTCATTGGACCATGTGGCAGTGACCCTACTGCCACACTGGGTGGTCATCATCAACATTGATGATAAATAGCATCATTTGAGATCTAGATGTGTTTGGGTTTCATGAAGAGTTGGTCTAAGAGTACTCAATTGGAAGACTTCTTTTTATCCAAAACCATGTTTTTTCTTGAGATCACCTCGTGATTTTCACTCAGTATTAATTCATAACAGCCTCTGAGCTGATATTTTCCACTCCTTTCTGATTTGCTAGTTAATTTGGATCATTTAACAGTTAAATAATTTCAGATACTGGTCATTTCTTTATCACCACCATTGTCATTTTCCTTGTTCACGCATGCCTCACCTGAAAGATGACTACATAATATAGTCAACAGGTAAATGGTTGATAAACAAATTCCTTTCTATCTAATCATTGAGAATAGTCTACTAACTGCCCACTTCATAACATCTACTTATTGTTAACTGAAAAAACACGACACAACCATCTAGAACCGTCTTGCAAGTTTCTACTAATCACCACCCGCATATTTATTTGATAGTGAGAGTTCTGGACATGAGCAATACTTCATTTTCCCTTCTGGGGTAGAATAGTATGCTTCAATTTGAATGTGGATATTATAATTAGCAGATGAATCCTAGGACCCTGTAATAACTGCATGAAAACCTGAGCTAGAATATATGTTTCCTCTTCGCCTTTTTTTGCTGAAGTGGAGCATTGTAATTCTAACCAGTTAGAGTAACGATGTCTCTTTATTTATTTCGCACAATATTTTAAATAAAGTTTCAAATCTTACCTTCAGCACCATTTTAATTCCCTTTCTGGTGGTGACAGAGCTCTTCTAATTTAATTTTGATATTATGACAGCTGTGGATTGCACTATGTGTTGCCACTAACAGTAGTGCATGGCTTGGCACAGCAGTACTTGTTACCAACATGAGGAATTTTCCTCTCAGTCGGGGAACAGTTGCTGGGCTACTAAAAGGCTATATTGGGTTAAGTGCTGCAGTTTATACAGAGGTGTACAGTATGGTGCTTAATGGGTCAGCTTCAAACCTATTACTGCTCCTAACACTGGGCATTCCCATCATATGTTTGGCAATGATGTACTTTATCCGGCCTTGTACTCCAGCTTCTGGAGAAGACTCTTCGGAGCATGCTCATTTTCTTTTCACTCAAGGAACCAGTCTGTCCCTCGGAATTTATCTCCTCACAACGATAATTTTAAAAGACGTGTTATCCCTTGGTAACACCATCTCCTACATATTTGTCGCCATAATGGTTATTCTTTTGATGGCTCCTCTAGCAATACCATTAAAAATGACATTGTTCCCTGCAAATCATAAGAAACCAAGCCAAACTGATTTGCTCGGTGGCGACGGTGGTTTAACCCAGACAGATCCTTTGCTGACACCATCTTCATCAGCAGCATATCTTGGAAGTTTTTATGAGAGTGAAGATATGACAGAAGTGGATATTCTTCTTGCTGTAGGTGAGGGAGCGGTGAAGAAGAAAAAAAAACCTAGGAGAGGAGAAGACTTCAAATTCCGTGAAGCTATAGTGAAGGCTGATTTTTGGCTCCTGTGGATTGTTTACTTTCTTGGGGTTGGCTCTGGAGTAACTGTCCTTAATAATTTGGCCCAGATTGGAGTTTCGCATGGTGTGAATGATACGACAATATTGTTAAGTTTGTTCAGTTTTTCCAATTTTTTAGGTCGCCTTGGGGCAGGAATTGCTTCCGAATACTTAGTAAGGTAATCACGATGCTCTTTCTTACGACTGTGATGGTTATTATATACGATTTCAATCTTGGAAGTACAGCATCCCCTTGTTTTGACTGCCTTAGGCTTCCTTTTATCTGAATAATTACTTTATGTTCTTAAATTTTTTTAATGTGTTTCAAGCAATGTTTTGAAAACTGACCCTGTCATCTACCCGAAAAAGTTAAAGGTCAAGAGTCAAATGGTCGAACCAAGGTCGAACTAGGGTTGTCTTGGATTTAAAATAATAAATAAATTTATATATTATGTTAAAAAAAATTATTAATTAAAATATCAATTTAAAACCCATTATCTACTATTTATTACATATGGAATATAAGTGATGAAATTGAATTGGCCAAACATATGTCCAACGTCGAAACCCTAATATAGATTAGGTATGTATCTGAGGCAAAACTTCAAAGTTCTTTCCAATTTTTAGATTTCAATATTAGATGTGTTGATTAAAAATTTGTGATTTCTCCAAAAAGATCCAAAGGGAGCAGGCGAGCAGTTATGAAGTGTTCTTTTCTTCTTTTTCTTCTTCTTCTTCTTCATTGAATCATTTTACAACAATTTTATTTTATTTTTAAAATGTGAAACCTGCAAAAACCT